CCTTTGGGCTGTTGATTGATTGACTGTACATAAACGTTTCAATTTAAAAATTTCAAGAAGGCTGTCCCCCAGTCGGAAGTTTGTCCAAAGGTGGTTCAATGAAAGAGAATAATCTATTTTTTTTTATCTCGGGTTTTTTTTACAACCTCCGGGAAAAAAGTTCCGTGAAAGTCCTGCAACATTAACGTGGATGAAAATTTAGAAAAGTTTCCTTTTCAGTCCTTCGAAATAGTCACCTCCCATAACTATGCACCCCTGAGATCTGCTCTACAGGTTCTGGAAACTTTCCAAGAAATCTTATTTTGGGGTGAAGTTTAAAGGCCTTGTCACGTTTCGTTGGATATTAGGAATATCGCGTCAAATCTCTTTCCTTTCAAAGCGATTTTGAGGTGGGAATAGGAAGAAGCCTGGAGGATTGAGATCTGACGAGAATGTGTCTGAGGTGGATGTTCAATTTGCACCCCTCCCCATCTCCTTTTTACCTGGAACTGTTTAACGATATTGGCGTGAACAAAAAATCATGAACCTTGTTGTGCGTACTGGGGTCTCACCCCACGTAGACGTTTCATGAACCGGATTAAATTTTCAATGTACCTTGTAGCATTCATCGTCACTCCCTCAGGTAGATATTCCTTGTGGATAATGTTTTGACTATTAAAAAAGGCGATGAGCATCGTTTTGATGCGGATTTTCTTCTCTGGCCTTTTTCAACTAGGTGATACTGGAGAATGCCATCCCGTGCTTTGTCGTTTCGTTTCAGGGTCGTACTTGAGACACCAGAAAGTTTCTTTCAAAGTCCTTCCATGCTTAAAACAAAACTTTCAAATGATGTTTTTTTCGTTCATTTTCTTGTTAACAGTTAAGAACCAACGCACTAAACGAACACTCTACAAAACAAGTCTTACATGGAATACAAAAATACAAATGACACTCAACAGAACAATGGTGGGGGCAGATGGTCAACACTTGCCGCTATGCATGTGCAGTGTTTTGTTTCGCCAGTGTTGCCAGATCGGCCGTTCTGACTTCATTCATTAAATTTTTTATTGTCAGAGGTTGTATTTTTATAAAATCCAAAATACCGAACGTGCACTCATGGCCAGCAAAGGTTCGAAAGTTATTTCCCTTTCCGAGAAAAGATGAGATCATAAGCACCTGAAGTCCTTTGTCACCCTCCATTGCTAGTTAATTGCCCAGTTTAACAGGTCCGTCGTGATGCGCAATTTTTGTCCAAAAATGTGCTTTGCATAAGTAGTCATTCTAACAGCCTCAGGGAATAGGAGGTTTTAAAAGTTCGTTTAATTTTACCTGTTAATTCCAATAATTACGTTGAGATTCTTTTGGGGTGAACCGTTGAAAATATGAACGGAAATGGGAGATCACCTACCATAGTGGCACTTTCAAACGTTAAATTAAGAAAAATAAAAAGAAAATACTGCAAAGAAATTCTAAAAATTGCATCTTTTCCTTTAATTTTAACAAGTCTGACTTATTTAAATTGTAATGGTATAAGATTTTTTTTTAAAAAATTTTTCCTTATACTGTATAACAGATTTTATATTATGTCCAACTTTATTTTTACACGGTTGATACTTTACATGAAACACCGAGTAAAACCATAGAAATAATATACAGTCGGACCTCTATATAAAAAAAGTAGCTAAATCCCGAAAGATAGTTCGTTATATGGAAAAAATTTGTTATGTAGAGGTTCAGTTTCAATTTTTTGACAAATCACATAAATAAAATTTTATATTCCTAAATACTATATATCGCGGAAAAGGATTAAGTATTCATACCTTTTTGTAAATTAATATATATTTATTTTATATATTTTACCTATCAAAAAATGGAAATAAATAAATAAAAACTGCAAGGAAGTTTTCTTGACGACTTTATCCACTTCCTAAGGAATTAAATTTTTCTTTTTTATGCTCAAGTACTTAGTTTTGACATTTTCGAGCTACAAGAAATAAAAATTACCAATACAACTGAACAACACTACAAAAAGAACAGAGACTAGTTCAAGGACACGGGGAAAAGAGACAACTCCACTGTGAGTGAAAGGGGGTATCAAGATGTTTCCACTGAACTGGACAATGGGGTTAAAAGTTGCATTTCTGGATGAAACACCAGAACTGTATTGCTCTCGGCGGATTAGGCATCTAATAAAACCAGTTCAAGATTTATGACCACCATTAGTGTGTTTAAAAGAGAGAATAACGTTAAGGTATTGATTACGTTCGAACCGGATTTTGCAAAAGCTTATAAATGGATAATATTTATGATATTTAGTGTTACTTAGATTAGAAAACGTATATAAAATTGTTTTCAGAATATTATTACAATAAAAAATTATTTAAGTACAATATTTTGACAAAAAATGAAGATAAAATGAAGCATTTTCAAAATATTCTCCTTTTGTGAAAATTGCTTCTATTATAATATTTTGCCTGTATATATCTGAGACCTCTGTATAGAGGCTGAACTAGAATTTTTAAAATATATAGCTTAGAAGTGGATTTATCCATATTTTACTACAGCAGAGGGGAGAAATTTTAAGAAAAAAAACGTCGATAATTATTTCAATTGATGTTAACTCTGAAAATAATGTGAATTTTTCAAAAATCCTAGTTCAGACTCTCTAGAGAAGTCTTTACTGTGTATAAGCACACACACACACACACACACACACAAACTTATTATTATAGAAGCATTTTTTAAAAAAGAACGTTTTGTGTGTGTGTGCGAAAAAATGTTATTCTAAGCTAATTTTTTTTTTTTTTTTGCCAAAATATTGTATTTAAATAATTTTTTTTTCATAATGTCCTTAAAACAGTTTCATACATGTATTCTAATCCAAATGACACTAAATATCATGAAAATTATCCATTTATGCGCTTTTTTAAAATCACGGTTCCGAACGTAGTCGGATACCTTAAATGTCCAGAAATATTTCAAGAATAGGTACAAAAAAATGGAATCATAAGAGAAAAAGTTCATTATATAAATAATGCACTTCGCTATTGGGAGGTTATTTTACGAAGAAAATCGTGAATTGCTCTTGGTTCCAGAAAAAAGTTCGCTGTATAGAAAAATTCGCAATATAGAGGTTCGACTGTATCTTTATAGTAAAAAAGAAGCTACGTTTCACGTTCTTTTAAGTCATGTATTATGAAATTAAGAAAAAAAATGCATACACGTTTACCATGAATCTTAAATTCAAACATGCTTCAGTAAATAATTAAAATAAAAGGAAGAACGCATACATACTGCCTCAACGCATACATACTGCCTCAACGCATAGGACAATAAATTGGTTAAATTTGAAATATAATAATAAAAATTATATATTCCCCCCTTTATATATATCATTTGTCAATATTGTGTGAGATATAAGTAGAAATCGAAAATTTTCAATAATAAAAGCCAATGTTGTGCTGCTATGCTGAAATCTAATAAAGGTTCTAACCTTGTAATAACTTTTTGAGAATCTAAATTTGTTTGAAATATTTTAAAGGGTTTTTTTAAATTAGAGAATTTTTTAATATTTTTGTATATGTTTTGGTTTTGCAAGTTCTTCTCATTTATAATTTTAAAAATATTAAATTAAACAATTATTCATATGATGCGATAATTTTAAGTTTTAATCCATGTTTTGATCAATATTTTAAAAATTATTTGCTAAATTTGTACAAAATCGACCATCACCATGAAATGACCGTCTTTTTCGCAATTCTAAAAAATTATACAGTAATAATGAATTCATTTTGTGAACAGTATAATTTCAACTCTAAAAACGCGGTAAACATGATAAATATAAAAATATAATTACTATATTAGAGAAGTATGATTTTGTAAAATGCAGTGATCGTTTTTCTCGGTTATATGAAACCGTAGACCCTATTTCTATAACCCTACAGAATGAAAAAAAATTATGTACGAAAAGCTGATATTCTGTTGCGTAAGCTTTTGAGCAGACTGGCATTAAGCAAAAAATCAAAATTAATTCAGCTGTTTGTTAAATGAGTCGTAAGATCTTGCAAGCGAATAGGGTGTAATGCCATCTTTCAGAAATGAAAGAGATGAAAACGCTATTTTTGATCAGTTACAGATGATAGATTTTCAGATCCGGAATCGTTTTTCAGAGTCAGTGTATTATTTGCTGTTTAGATGTGTTAATATTCCAGTACCGACATAGAGAGATTTCAGATTCCTTGATCCTAACAATATTTTCGAAAACTTACAAAAGGATTAACACTTATCTTTTTCAAACTAAAAAATAAACAAGTATAACATAAAAAAAATTAAGTCGGTTCCTACTTTGGCCAACAAAGAAAAATTTTATTTTAGTTACTTTTTATTAAATAGTTACAATTAGTATAAGTATGTATATACATATGACAGAATAACAATATTGTGAAAAAATAGATAGCGATTTTCCTTGCAATTTTCCATTTTCCTTTCTATATATGGGAAATTCGAGCCCAGTACCACTGAGTTGAGTTGAGTTGAGTTGAGTTTGGTGTTTTATGGCGCAAGAGCCAGTTTTGGCTATACTGCGCCAAAAAATTAAAGGCCCCTTGGTCTGGACGGGAAAAGAAGAAATTGGATGACAAGATGGAGGGTCGAAAATAGAGAAGGCTCACTGGGGTACCCCGGGGTCCAGTACCACTGAAGACCCGCTGTGTAAAGGAGCGATGCACGTTAAATCTGTCGAGAGCTCCGATGTCCTCCCGTTGGTGTGGTGTGATAGTTAGGAGGGGGGTGCCAGCTCAGGTGTCGTCCTCGTCACTTAACCACGGTTCAAAATTACGAGATTCGTCACCGAAAGCCCTAGTGTAGTTGAACAGTGCGACGTTAATATTCACTCACTCACTATTCTATAAATGGTGTTGGAATATATTTTGTTTGTTTGTTAGTCTTTATTCATTAATTAAATTTAATTATTCTAATGAAATAGTATAGTAAAAAAGAAATCATGTTCTCAGAAATGAGATCATCCCAGGTGGGATTCAAGCCCACATCCTTTGAATTAGACGTACAACTTGCTATCTATTGCGCTACAGGGACACTATAAATGATTTTAATTTCTATGTATGCTGTTGGGCTATTATTTTTGTTTGCTACTATTTATTCATTTTTAATTTAATTAATGAATTAATTTTTGAAAAAATGTATTACCATCAATAATCATTCAATACAAGTTTAAAAAATGTATTTGAACTTGAATGTATGAATAGGAAGTATTTTATTTAGGAGTGAAAATTTGAACAAGATATAAATATATATATAGAGAGAGAGAACTATATAATAGAGTAGGAATAGAAAATAATCAGGCCACAAAACTAGCTACTGAATATAATAAGTACTAAATACATGAACAATCGCTTATACCTGAGAACAATTAATTGCTTTAAAAAGCTGTATAAAATCTGAAATTGAGAAAATCCATTCCATCAAAGAGCTCGCAGAATTATTATTAATTTCAGTAGCCTCACCTCCAGTTTTCCGGATGTTATTATAGCAAAGGGTCAACTGTCAAGTTTTGCTTTAAAACAAATTTTCTGTGTTAACAAATTATTGGTACCATTTTTAGACACCTAGTATTTAAAAAAATAATTAACAAAATTTGACGCACTTCTTAAGAAGGTTTGCCATCGCTGGCCTGGGTTATATGAATTGACTAAGTGTGTGAAGAGAGAAATAGATTCCTATTTAAAGCTTGCATTTATTTTATTCTCTGTCAATCATTCGGTCTACTATCACTTTTTATTTGAAATTGACTCTATTCTTTTCCAGAATCATTTTGTTGATGCATATTTACTGTTGCAATCTGATGGACTATGGTCGCAATAGGTTAAATTCATGTGACGTCATAATCACATGATAAATACAATCAGGTATTTAAAGCATCAGTCATGTAGCTAATTTTTGCTCTTTGGAGAAACTTTCTTTTAACCCTTTATCTACCGACGCGGTACTTATAAACACCACACACTCACTTTAAAATTATATAGAATAACCATTTTTACGAATACTCTAACAATACTTAGAAGAAATATTCTTTGAAATCCACTCTTCCAAGATATATGACAGCACGGGTTCTATGATGAATATTTTAGCGGGGAAGGCGAATAGTTTTATAGCAGAAATTGCGTTTCCAGCAGATTGTGAAGATTATCATTTTTGTCCCGAAAAAATAGTTAATGTCGAAATTTAAGTGTCTTTTTTTTTTGTATGTTAATGAAGACCTTAGAAAACGATTTGACCATTTATTTTAAGTAAACAGTGTATATAATTAATTTTACTGTTGAATATCTTAAATTAATTAATTAGCTCTAATGGATTAAATTCCCCATAGTTGAGCATTTTGTTTTATGTATATACCTTAATTTTCAATGTAGTGATTCGAAAAAAAAAAAACATTTCATGAAAAAAACTACAGTAAATCATAATTCGGTAGATAAAGAGTTAAAACCGCATATTTGTCAACAATAATAACGTACATAAGTAAGCGAAATATACTTAAATTAAAAGTACACGAATAAAATATGATTTTTTTTTTAATTTTAAAATCTTTTTGATGAGTTTTTTTTAACTGTATTTGAGCATTTTTACCCAATTATGAAATTTGAAATTTTATCAGAATTTTACACACACACACACACACACAATAACAAGTACGAGTTAAAACACGTTCCTATTTCTCAATAAATAGAAAGGCTAATAAAAAGAAATCCAAAATTACTTTTATATATGCATGGACAACCAAAATCAATTTTAATTATTAGTGTAAACATGTAGTTTCAAAATGCAGCATTTAGGTTTAGTTATTGGTACAGAATTGCTCTTTCTCGAAGCTTGAAAATTTAATTCACAACATTATGAAATTTCCATAATGGTTGTTCTGCATTGAGCCACAGAAATAAAATTATCTTCTGCACTTCTCAGTTTTTGAGGAAATTTTAAGTGTTCTTTTGATAAAATTTACTCAAATATTATTAAAAAAAATATTTGATAGGAGCATAACAGTCTTGGTCGCGACCGCTACCGGAGCCCCTCCCCCTCCTGCGCATGCCTATGTATATAAATGGCTCGTTGATAGCTTAATTATCTTTTTTCACTTACAAATTGTCTCCTCTCCTTTTTCCAGATTTTGTCGACCAGTGGCCTGGAGAGTTGAATGGTCATGGTCGACAAACAACATGGCTTCCACATCACTTGACCAAGTTTGAAAATTACGATGTCCGTCGCCAATAACTCGAGTGTTGCTTCGGAGTGTAACTTTAACGAGCACTGAAATCAATTAACCTATAATTACTGATCATGGTTGGGTATCTTATTTACAGAACAGTATCAATTTCTTTGTAAGTCAACGTTTTATATATATAGTCCCTTTTTAAAGAAATTTCTAATTGAGTTTTGCTTACTTAAGCAGTTAAGTGTTTTAATTAAATACTAAACTTTTTAAATGCAAGAAAATTAAAAATCTTTTTTTAGTTACGTAGAATAAATACCTACACTAAATAATAATTTAAGCATTCTAAATTGACTTTTATTAATTTTCGACAAAGATGGAATTGAACAAGACGGGCTTTTAAATATATAAACATACTATTCGTTACATTTTAAAACAGAAATACATTGACCAAGTTATAGTTTCTTTAGAAATAATTTAGTTTTTTATAATATTCAAATTTTAATAAAAGTACTTCAATATTGCTTGCCGATTGTACTTTTATAACATCAAGAAATAAAACAGTTTTCGAAAAAGACTTTAATGTTCAAACATACCCACAGATGGCACCACGAAGCATTCAATCGTATGTTTTTGTATTAAAGTATTCGCTTTCAAACACATTTTTTTGTTATTCAGTGGTACGTTAGCTACACCGGTTGATTCATAAATAGTGTGACCAATTTCAGAGGATCAAAATTTTTATTGAATAAAGTTATTTACATGGAATTTTCAATATGGTTTCCTCTAGAATAGTACACTTTACGTAAGCGTTTTGGCTAAGCTAAGAGTTTTTTCGGCCATTTTGGGATTTTTCCAACTTCCTCTTAAATTGCTTTTTAAAGCCCTTGAAATGCTCTTACTTTACGTCTTTTTAATTGTTTTTTTAAGTATCCCCATAAAAAAATAATCACAAGAAACAATGACAGGAGATAGTGATAGTCATTTATCAGGAGGAAGACAATTTATTTTTTATATTTCTGTCATTTTATAGTTGATTTTGCAGTATAATTTGGTGCACAATGTTGGTGAAAAACAATATTCCCTTGAGTGCAAAGACGTTTACTTTCTCTGATCAATTGTTTCAAAACTTTATTCTGATAGTATTTATCATCAATTTTAGCCTTTGGTTCTACAAAAAATAGTTTTGTTAAGCCTTGAGAGGACATTTCCGTCCATACCATAAACACCTGACGGCCAACTTGCAATTTTCAAAACAGCTGCATCTTTGCGACGTTTTTTGCTTGAAATATATTGAATCTTCGTTTTGCTCGTTGTGAATGACAGATGAGACAGTGCTTCATCCGAAGTTATCCATGTTTTGCCTCTACCTTTGCATAACATTAAATATAGAAGCCAAGGACGTTTTCATAATTTTTCTTCGGTCTTAACAGACATTTGATGACAGACTGGAAAATTTACTTTTTTATAGCCAATTTTCTTTATCTGACAATAAATTGTCGATTGCTATATCTATAGATTCTTTGCCATAGGTTTTTGAGGCAAAGAATTTTCTACAGCCATAATTCTTTTCAATTTTTTTCTCTTTCATTAAGGACTTTCTTTTGTTCGCATTTTTTCCCTGGAGCTTTTGATTGTGAACCAATTTTTTTTTTAAAGTTTAGGTAGTAATACAATAGAAAATGCTTTTTTTTTTTATTTTTAAATGTTTTATTATTTACAGAATTTGAATAACCATCCTTCAAAAGCTGTAAAATTTCGTTCCGGGTTTGAGGATCTTATTTCAGTACTATAATTTACTCCCACTAATAAAAATGGTTAGATTAGTAATTTAAATGTTTCATTTTTAAAATAAAACCAGTAGTAAAACGATAGAAATTCACCATAAATAATTAAATGCTTTTAAAATTGGTCACACTAATTTTGAATCAACCGGTAATTTGCTAAAATGATTGTTGATGCTTCTGAGTTTCGAAAGAACCTGGGATCCATCCAGTGGCGGCGCGAGATCTGGACTTAATGTGGGCAAGATACATTTTGCGAGGCCCTCTGATGGCGTAAGAAGAGGGTTTATAAATTAAAAAACCAATTTATATTCATAAAGAAAAAGACCAAACTTTTTATTCACATTTCTTTGGCACATTAAACAATAATGAAAAAAAAAATTAATGAAACAGAAATTTTCAACTTTTAGTTTTGCTGAAATCTTTAATGATTGGCTTGTAAGATGCTATATCTTCTTCAATAGATAAAATTGCCGAAGCTGAAAGTCTTTCCTGACCCATTGTATTTCTTACATAATTTTTTAACAGTTTTGATTTTGAAAAGCTCCTCTCAACAGAAGCGGTACTTACAGATATTATTAACATAATTCGAATGTGTGACAATGTAAATACTTGGAAAAATTTCTTTTAAATCGTTTTCTATGACATATTGGAGCAGATGTTTCACGTTTGTATTGTGGTTTTGGGTAAATTTGGGATCATATCTTGTAATTCTTCATATAATTCGTGAGGTTGGAAGTCAATGCTCTCCCTTACTTGCAGGACTGTGTGTAAATCTTGACAGTTTTTCAGTATTTGCTCTTTTGGAATATTTTTTAAGTTGTTTAAGTCATAGAGAAAACCAAAATTTTCAAAATGTTGACTTAAAGACATAAATCTTCAATCCATATTGCTTATCACAGAATCAATCATGATTTTAAAAAAGTCTGTTTCATACCGGCTTTTGAGACTCTATAGGCAGATTTTCTTATTTAATACGTGTTTATCGTTTTATAACAATGTACTAGTACCACTATTATCTATTATCATTTCAAATACTTTTAAAATTTATAATATGATATAGAAACAGGAAGCGAGACTGTGTCTTC